GTTAATTTGTTTTTTCTTTATTTCTCTGTGAGAAATATTAGCATATTGTTTGTTTAAATTATATAGCCTGGTATAATAATCTTGAAAACATTTTGCTATATCTGTAGTTGTATGTACCATTTGTTGCTTATCATTTTTCATTTTTAAAAGGTAAGATTTTATAAATTGAGATTTCAACTTGTTTGCTAGATATTTGCCACATTTATTACTATTTTCATATAGGTATTGTTTAATCCTTGTGTAGGCTTTGTTGGAGATTGTATCTAGAAGTATTTTTAAATCTTTTCTTTTCTCTTTTAACTCCTTAAAGACCTTATCTGATAAGTGTTTTTTATGTAGGGATTCTAAATTATGTATATCTTTCAATAATGAGTTTATTTTCTTCTCCCTTTCTTTTTTAGCAAAGGAGCCCAAAGAAATCAACAAACCTCTTATCGTGCACTTATGTGCTTCCCATCTGTTATGTAAAGAAGTATCATTCACATTATTTTCTAAGAAGAATTGTTTGAGTCTCTTGGTGATTTTTTCTTTAAAGGGTTCTTGGCTAATCAGATTGTCATTTATTTTCCAGTTAAAATGAGGTTTCAGCAAATTGGGAAGTTTAAATATCAAGTTCACTGGGCAATGGTCAGATAAAAGAGAGTTTTCTATTGACACACTTTTAACGAGTTCTAGGAATCTGTGTTCCAGAAAAATATAATCTATTCTTGAATAGCTTTTATGAGCACAGGAATAGTGTGTATAGTCTCTCTCATCTGCATGGTAAGCTCTCCAAGTATCAGCAAATAAGTTGTCATGTAAAAGTTGATTAATACCTTTGATCAGTGAACATGGTAAATTCGATTTTTTGGATGAAGTGTCCATTAAGGGGTTTAGTGGGATGTTAAAGTCACCTCCCAAAATTACTATCCCTTCTTGAAAGGATTTAAGCTTTAATAGAATACTCTTCAATATTTTGTTTTGACCTTTGTTAGTGAGGTAAACATTACACATAGTTATTTTAGTGTCATACAAAATGCCCTTTACCATGATACATCTACCATCACTTCTAGCATAGGTGTCAAGTGTTGTAAATGGAATATTTCTATGCATAGCAATCAACACGCCATTTGTTTTCTTTAAGCAATTATTGCCTGTAAATATCTTATCAAATTGTTTATGTTTTATATTGGGATAATTATTTTCTTTAAAATGGGTTTCCTGCATAAAAATTATTTTGGATCCCATTTTATTGCAGTGATTAAATAATTGTGCTCTTTTAATAGGCTCATTTAACCCATTAACATTTACTGATGTAATCTTACAATTAGCCATTTTGTGTAATTAAGGTTGCATAATACTTTTTCACAATAAAGCGATATCAAGTCGTCAGTATCTCTGTCATATTGAAAATGAAAAAAAACAAAGAATATTTTAGGTGTGGAATTTAGAACTATGTACAAGGGTATTACCAATAAGAAATAGGTTTTGTCCCGTAGGGACATTTCTCTTTAAAGGTTATAGAGGTATAAGATAGGCAAAAGTGCTATCCTAATGGGGGAAATGGAAGGTCAACCCGATACAGATAATACAAAACTAGTATTAATTAAGTAAATCTTACACCAAATCACACTCTTACCCTGTGAGCTTCTCATCTAAGTATATAAACATTCAGATATAATGTCTAACCTGCAAGACACAAAATTTTTGATTAACATATTAAACACAATTTAAAGATTTATGAAGAGGAGGTGCATTGTGCCTAAATAAAGAAATAAGGTTGTTAAGAGTTCTCTTCAAGTGTCATTATTTATGGCAAAGGTCAAGTCTTTTTCTCCTCTGGGATTAGGTGTAGAGGCCATCTTCTTAGTTTGCTTCAATGGAGTTATCCAAAATTCCGGTAATTTTTCCAATGAGAAGTCAGGCGTTGGGATGACATCCCATCCTGGGAGAGGTGGTTTTTCAATGCCCAGCTTTTTGCAGAATTCCTCAGTGTCCTTAGGAGATTTCAGTACCATCCATTGTCCCTCCTTTCTCACCGATATGTGAAAAGGGAATCCCCACTTGAATTGTAGGCCTTTTTCCTTTATAGCATCTGTGAGAGGTTTAAGATTTCTTCTCTTGCTGAGGGTTTTCCACGAGATGTCTTGGAAAATTAGTATTTTGCTATCTTCGTATGTGATGTTGTTTATTTCTCTTGCTTTAGAGATGATTTCCTCCTTCTCTGTGAAGTTATGCAGAGCGCAAAGGACATCTCTGGGAGCTCCATGAGGTGCATTTTTTGTCTTAGCCACTCTGTGAAATCTGTCCATTTTAATTTCAGTTGCAGTATCTCTATTGAGAATGCTGTTAAAGATTTGCCACAGTGCTTGTTTCAGTTCACCTTGAGTAATTATTTCAGGGATGCCTCTTACTCTCAGATTAACCCTTCTGCTTCTGTTTTCAAAGTCCTCCATTTGCCTTTCAAGCTCCTCAATTTGTTGAGCTTGCTTTTTTACAGTCTTATGCAAGTATGTATTGTGTTTAAGTAATTTCTCCTGCGCTTTTTCTATAGTGTCAGTTCTCACTGCTATGTTTACTATGTCTTTCCTTATATCTCTCATTTCATCAGTTAACACAACAGATAAGTTCTGCAGCATGCTTTTGATTTCAGCTTTAGATGGTAAGCATTTTAAATATGAGCGAATATCTTCCTCTTCCTCACTTTCAGAGTCAGAGTGCTCAGTATCACATTCAGTTAAAATAGGCATATCAGTCTGCCGATTTCTCCCTCTTGCAGCTTTGCCAAACGAGCTTTCACTGACTATGTCAGTGTTTTTAGCAGACTCACGTTTTTTTGCGGCCGCCATCTTGGATCCCCTTGTGTCTCTATCAACAGGATCAAAAAACTCGTCTGGATCAGGTAATTCCCTAGCGATTTTGCTAGGTCTGGGTTTGGGAGTTTGTTGTTGGTTCTTAGCATGCTTTTTCATCTTTGCAGGATTCAAATGCAGGTTGTTAGGTGCTCACAGGGAGAGTAGATTCACAGAGGTCTCAGACTATGCTGCCATTCAGTGCTGACGACAAGCCACGCCCC